TTGAACCTTTTATCCTGAACCTGCCTCTCTGTGCAGTTATACACGTTCTTCTGTTCCCTGCCTTGTCGTTGTCTGGGAGTGTAACACCCATACTTCCTGTTTGCTCACCTGCTTTTAGCCTATTCCTTTTTCTCCACCCTAGATGTTGGCAAGGGCATTGGGAAACCGATACCAAGATGCAGAAGAGTGTGGGGGTAGTGCATCTTGATTTCTGTGGGTGAGTGTATGCTTGTCAACTCTTTTTATTTACACTAGCAAAGACCTGGCATGAAGTCTTGAATTTCATGCCCAGTACTGCACAAAGATGGTGTGATGGTGAATGCCTGTCATTCCTGCACTTGGGAGGTGGAGCAAGAGTTTGAGGTCTTTCTTCACTATGCAGTTATCAACTTTCAGTTAAAATGACTCTGGTTGCAATCTCCCCTGCCATACAAACACTGTCCCCTTTCTAGCCTTGGACACAGAACTGCTCCTGCTCGTCCACCTCAAATTTCTGGATTATCTTCCTAACTCAGACTATCTTAACCCTTTAGTGTAGTTTGTTAGACTCTCCACAGGCTTTCCCCACCCCCACCTTCACCTGGCTTCCTGATCTGCCTGACACAGGCAGCCTACTACCTGCCTACTACCCTGGTAAGCCAGTCCTTCCCACTACATCTTGATTCCCCTACAGCCTTAGCACCTCCAATCCCTACCACCACTACCCCCATGTCCCCATTCTAGCCTTGGGCCCAGACCCACTCCTGCTTTTCTGCCTCAGATCTCTGGACTGCCCTCATAGTCCAGACCTGCATAATGTGACCTAATCCCTTACACCCAGACTAAGTCAATTCTCCAGCTAACTTTGTTTGACCCTCCACAGGCTGTCATCACCCCCGTCTTACCCTTAGGCCCCATCCTGATCTGCCGAGTACAGATCTACCAACCACCCAGCAAGCCTATTACCCTGTGATAGCCTGAAGCACACACCAACTAACTTTTCATGCCTGAGCAAAAAGCAGCCAAGCTACATCAACAATATAAACAAAATCATAATTCAAATAAACGAAAGCAGAATAGAATTTCCTGTTGGACACAGAGCAAACAAAAGACATCCATATGCCCAAATAGCGATGTAAAAACACAAGTATTATGAAAAACCAAGAGACTGTGTCCCCAACAAAACCCATCATTCCTACAGAAGTGTAATAAATGAGAATCGCTCTGAGAAACCTGACATAGAACTTAAAAGAACAATCATAAACATGATCAAAGAACTCAAAGAACACACAGACAAAAAACTCAAAGAACTCAAAGAGGACAGGCATAAGCTTGTGATGGAAGCCTAAGAAAATACAAATATGTGGCTGAATAAAGTAACAAAAACAACGCAGGACTTGAAAAGTGAATTCACAGAAGAGAGATAAATATTGAAGAAAACCCAAACCAAAATAAAGATGGAATTTAAAAACTCAGTCAGTCTATTTGAAACAATAGGAGAAAGCCTCACAAGTAGAATGAATGAAACAGAAAACAGAATATCAAGACAAAGTTGAAGAACTAGACTCCTTAAGCACGACTATGAAAAACTAAAACAAACAAACAAAAAGACCCACAGGAATGGAGTATACAGGAAATGTGGGATACCATGAAAAGATAAAATTTATGAATCATAGACATACAGCAAGGAGAAGAATCCCAGGCCAACAGCATTGAACAGCTCTTTAACTGGATTATAGATGAAAACTACCCTAAACTAAGGAAAGACTTACCTATACAGATTCAAGAAGTAACACAGAACACCAATTAGACAAGATCAGAACAGAAACGCCCCATGGCATACCATAGTGAAAACACTAACTTTACAGAACAAAGAGAGGGTACTGAAACCTGCTAGAAAAAACAAGTCACATATAATGGAAAACCCACCAGAATTGCAGCTGACTTTTCAGTCCAAACTGTGGAAGCCAGAAGAGCCTGAACCAAAGTATTCCCAGTTCTTTTTAAAAATATTTTACTTATTTTTTTTATTTTGTGTGTATGAGTGTATTGGTTGCATGTATGTAACTGTACCTGTGTTATGGAATGCCCACAGAGTCAGGAGGTGTTGGGTTCCCCAGGAGCTGAAGTTACAGATACTTGTTAACCACCATGTGGATGTTGTGACTCAAACCCGGGTCCTCTACAAGAGCAGCTGGTGCTCTCAACCTCAGAGTCATTTCACAACCCAAGTATTCCCAGTTCTAAACAACCATGGATGGTCAACCCTGAATACCCAGCAAAACCATCTATCATAGTCGAAGGAGAACAGAAAATTTTCCATGACACAAATAAGGTAAAAGAATTCATGTCCACCAAACCAGACCTATAGAGAATTCCCAAAACAATAGAAAGGACTGAAGATAGGAGTGACTATGCCCAAGAGATTACAGAAAAAACAAAGGAAGGAATAATTATGGAACCATAAAATAGGACCAAGAACCCAAACAAATTAAAAGGACAGTACCCAATACACATCTTTCAATAACAACTCTGAATATCAATAGCCTCAACTCCCCAGTCAAAAGACTCAGGCTAGTGGAATGGATTAAGAAACAAAATCTATCTTTTTGTTGTTTTCAAGAAACTCATTTCACCTTCAAGAATAGACACTACCTTAGGGTGAAAGGATAGAAAAAATATTCCAAGCAAACGGCACAAAGAAACAAACAGGTGTTGCAATTCTAATATCTGACAAAGTAGACTTCAAATTGAAACCAATCAGAAGAGATAGAGAGGGTCACTTTATTCTAATCAAAAGAACAATTGACCAAGAAGATACTGCAATTATGAATAGATATGCACCAAACTCTTGTGCACCTAATTTCATAAAAGCAATACTAGAGAACTATGTAACACAAATTAAACCAAACTCAGTAATAGTTGGTGACTTCAATATTCCACCCACTATCACCCATAGACAAAAAATAAACAGAGAGATATCTGAGTTAAATAACATCTTACATCAAATGGCCCTAACAGACACCTACAGACTATTATACCCAAGCACCAAAGAATATGCTTTCTACTCAGCAGCCCATGCAATTGATGGCATACTGGGAAACAAAACAAAACTCAAAAAAAATAAAAAATATTGAAAAAATTCTGAGCACTCTATCAGGTCACAATGGAATAAAGCTTATAAGCAACAGTAAAGTAAGGTCTAGTAACTACAAGAACTCGTGGAGATTAAACAACACACTCCTGAATGAGGAATGGGTCAAAGAAGAAATTAAGAAATAAAAGTATCCTGGGACTAAATGAAAATGAGAATACAACACTGCAAATCTCTGGGACATGTTAAAAGCAGTCTTAAGAAGGAAGTTTATAGCTCTAAGTGCCTACATCAAAAAATCAGAGCAAGCACACGTAAATGACTTAACAGTACAACTCAAGATTCTGGAAAGATAAAGACAAACCAAACACAAATCTAGTAGAGAAGAAATAACAAAACAAAACAAAATCAGAGCATAAATTAATCAAATAGAAACAAAACAATACAAAGAATCAATGACTCCAAAAAGTTTCTTTGAAAAGTTAAACAAGATAGACCCTTAGCCCAGTTAACCATAAGAAAGAACAAATTTGAATTAGTTATCTCAGAGACGAAAGGGAAAACATCACAAAAGACACCAAAAAACCTAGAACATTATAAGGAAATACATTAAAAAGTCTATATTCTATTAAATTTGAAAATCTAAAGAAATGGATGAATTTCTAATTTCATGGAAACCACCTAAGTTAAACCAAGAAGAGATCAACAGCTTAAACAGACCAATAACAAACAAGGAAATTGGAACAAAACTTCCTAACTAAAAAAAGTTCAGGACCAGGTGAATTCACAGCAGAATTCTACCAGACGTTCAAAGGTTTGCAACCAATATTTGTTAAATTATTCAAAATATAGAAACAGAGGGAGAACTCCCAAACTCCCGTGAAGCCGGTGTCACTCTAATACCATAACCAGGTATAGGAACAAAAAAGAAAACTGTAGACCCATAGCCTTAATGAACACAGACACAAAGAGTCTCAAAAATATACTCCCATACCACATACAGACACACATCAAAAAGATCATCCACCATGATCAAGTCGGCTTTATTCCAGAGACGCAGGGATGGGTCAGTATATATAAGTCAATAAATGTAATAAATCATATAAATGGACTTAAAGACAAAAATCACATGAACATTTCAATAGATGCAGAAGAAACCTCTGACAAAATCCAACATGCATTCATGTTTTAAGTCCTAGTGGGAATTGGGCTTGAGGGAACATACCTCAACATAATGAAAGCTATATACAGCAAATACACAGACAATATCATTCTAAATGGAGAAAAACTGGAAGCATTCCCATTAAATTCAGAAGCCAGACAGGGATGCCCACTATCTCCACTCTTTTTCAATACAGTGCTTGAAACTCTTGCTAGAGGCACAACACAAGAGAAGGGAATTAAAGGAGTACTAATTGGAAAAGGAGAGGTCAAATTATCCCTAATTGCAGATGACATGATATTATACATAAGAGAGCCCAAAAATTCCACTAGAAAACTACTAGGAATGATTAATACTTTCAGTAAAGTGGCAGGTTACAAAATCAACTTACAAAACTCAGTAGCCTTTCTATATACTGGCAGTGGCAGTCTACTAATTTGGCCCCTAGGGAACAGCCAGGATATGGCAAGACCTATTTTTGGCTGGCCCAGGGCTGAACCTGCACAGGACAGTTCTTGGTATTCAGCCTTCGGGTACATGTTTTTCTCTAACTAGTTTCTGCTTGGGTTCTGCTGGTGCAATTACACATAATTAATGAGACTCCACGGTTCAAGTGAACCTGCAGGTTTATTCGACAGAAAGTCTTCCTGCTTTGAAACAAGGTATAAAACATTGTAATTCTGCAATAAACTACCCACTTGGCCAACAGCCTACAGGTCCTCCTGATCTCAGCTGCCTCTGGGTCTTTTTTCCTTCATCCCTTACCTTCCCACGCAGGCTTTTTAAGACCCCCAGTAGCTGGACTGCCACATTGGTGCCCAAAGAGGGACCGAGTCCTGCAAAGTAAACAGAGCAATGATTTCAAATACAAGGCTGTCAGGTAAGGGGGCTGTGGTGAGTTGATGGAATAGTCAGGAGTGAAGTAAGATGGGACAAACAGGTTCTAGGGAGAGTGCTCTATTTTTTCAGATGCTTCACTCTTAGCTTTATGCTCACTCTAGCAATGCTAGGCCTAAACACTCAGATTTTGTACAGGAGACTCGTCCTTGGTTTCCTGAAGAGGAGACCGTTAGCTTGGGAACTTGGGGAAAAGTAGGTAGGAAAGTCAAAGATGAATATAGGGTGTGGGACCAGCAAGCTATTCCAACTTTTGCTTTGTGGAATCTTATTCACGATTCCTTGATCCTCAGCATGAAGTTGACTCGCTCATTATTTGCCATTCTTCTAAACCTGCCTCCTCTGAACTTAAAGATATTCAGTGTTCAGCCCCATCCCCCACCCTCCAGAGTACACAGAGCCTCCTGAAATTGAGGACTCTTGAGTTGCTTTCAGTTGCTGCACATTCTAAGGAGAATGAACTCCCTCCTTTTTGATGGTGCGGTTAAAAATGAGGACTTTCCACCTTTTGTCACTGATGTTGCTGAGCCTCAGCGTCGTAACAAAAGATGGACTCTGCTTTAGAGGTGGCAGCTCCTTTAAGGATCTTGGAATAAATTCTACTCTTTCACCTTTACAGGAAGCCCTGCTAAAGGCTCAGGAGAAGGGAGAGGGTATTTCAGGCTTTTCTTGTTTCCCTGTCATGCAACAAACTGATGCCCAAGGCCAACAACAAATTTATCAACCTATTCCTTTTAAAATCATAAAGGAATTAAAACAAGCAGTAGTGCAGCGCGGAGCCACCGCACCCTTTACTCTGACTTTATCAGGCTCCCTTGCCGCCAATGCCTTGCCTCCCTCTGACTGGAGCAGCACTGCCTGAGCTCGCCACTTCGGAGGAAACCAGTTGAACAAACGGTGGAACAGGCAGAACCGTAACTGGGCCAACGATCTAGGAGTCATTGCTGCTGATGTGTTAACTGGAGATGGGTCCCATAGCAGAGTTAACAACCAATTATATTCCCTCACCCCTGCATGCTTATTGACAGGTTAATGTTATTGCTATGCAAGCTTGGCAGCGTTTTCCAACAACCAGGAAAAAGACTGAAGAACTTTCAAACATTCAACAGGGTCCTGATGAACGGTATCAGGATTCTGTCTCCAGCTTATTCCAGGTTGTTAGCAGCGTTATAGTAGATGGAAAAGCAAGGGTATTATTGGTAAAGCCGTTACCTATGAAAATGCTAATCAAGCATGCCAGACTGCCATATGACCTGTTAGAAAGAAGGGGCCCTTGTCTGATTATATCAGATTGTGTGCTGATATTGGGCCTTCCTATATGCAGGGAGTGGCTATCGCTGCTACTGTTAAGGGAATGACTCCACAACAATTTTTAAGGCAGCAAGTCATCTGGAGGAAAGGATTTAATAGGGGAATGAGAAAGGAAAAATCAAATGAATGTTATCACTTGGTCAATCAGGTCATTTTGTACAAGAGTGCCCTAATCCCCCTAACAACAGGCCTCCTGTGACTACCCCAAATAAGACACCCGGTTTATGCCCCCTGTGGAAAGAGGCAACCACTGGGCTAATGAATGTAGGTCAAAGTTTACTGCTGCTGGACAACCTCTTCCCTGGGAATCCTTCCCCAGGCCAGCTAAGGTCCCAACAAACAATAGCAGCCATGACCAAGGGGACTTCCAATCTGTCAACTCCCTCCACAGAGCAACTTCTGGGTCTTCTAGCCGCCCCCTCCTACTCTGTACTGACTCCAGAAATGGACCCACAGGCCATCCTCACTAGAGTATGTGGGACTCTCCCAGAAGGAACTGTGGGATTGCTTCCTGGAAGAAGTGGATGGACTATGAAAAGATTTCATGGGGATGTAGATTAGTATTACACTGGAGAAATTAAGGTCATGGCTCACTCTCCTATGGCAATATATACTATCACTACAGGACAGCCCACAGCTCAGCTCATCATCCTGCCTTTGGGGCCCCAGTTAGGAGATTTTCAGGACACTTGCAAAAGAGGAGACTGGGAATTTTGTTCCTCTGATCGGACATTTTGGTTAGAAACAGTGGGACTGGAACACCTGTGTTGCATAGCTTTAGTGTCAACTTGACACACCTGGGTTGAGGGAACCTCAATCGGGGAATTTCCTCTATTGGACTGGCCTGTGGCCATGTCTGTGGGGAGTTTTCTTGATTGTTGAGTGATGTGGGAGGGCCCAGCCCACTGTGGGTGGTGCCACCTCTGGGCAGGTGGGCCTGTATTCGATAAGAGAGCAAGTTGAGGAGGGGCCAGGGGAGCAAACCAGTAAGCAGAGTTCCTCCATGGCCTGTGCTCCAGCTCCAGCCTCGAGGTTCCTGCCCTGAGTTCCTACCTTGGGCTCCCTGATGAACTGTGACCTGGGAGATGTAAGCTGAATAAACCCTTTCATCCCCAAGTTGGTATTGGTCAGAGTGTTTTGTCACAGCAATGAAGAAACAAACCAGGATAACACCCCAAAATGATATTAATTATTCAGGGAAAAGTTTTACTGGGGCTAACATGTCTGTTCTCAGCCTTCAGCATGGCCACTTGAGTGGAAGAAATCTGTGGCTTATACTGACAGACCCAGAATCCTGAAAAAACTGCAGATTTACTTAATTGGGAATCACTGGAGAGACATCGTGGTCCTTTCCAGCCTTACATACTTCGTTCTCTCCCTGTTAACCCATGGGAAGAGATGTGCTATCACAAATGGGCATCATAGTCTGTGCCCTTCCACCCACTGTTTCCAAGCAAAGCCACAGGGGATATGACCCTAGAAAAGGTATGAGTGAACAACAACAGGGGATTCTTGAACTTTGTATGTCCTATTCTAGTCAAGGAAGGGAGGGGCTGGGTTTCTCTGAGTCACTGATGTCTCCTCCTCCCAGACAAGCAGATGCTATTGGATGGACCGGTTCAAAGCCAGTCTGGGTGGATCAGTGGCCTTTACCCAAGGAGAAGTTAGCTGCCACTCATGAGTTAGTTCAAGAACAAGTACAGGCAGGACATACTGAACCTTCCACAAGTTCTTGGGATGCTCCTATTTTGTAATAAAGAAAACGTGAGGGAAATGAATGGCTGTTGCTACAGGTTCTTAGAGCTGTTAAGTTATGGAATTAATGGGTTCTTTAGAACCTGGGGAAGCTGCTCCAACTTCTGTCCCTCTTGATTCTAATAATTGTAGACTTTAAGGATGCATTGTTATCATTCCATGACACCCATAGGGCCTTCCTCAGTTTTTTTTTAGTCTCCTTTCCTGACATTGTCACGTACCAATGTCTCGCTTCCAATGGAAAGACCAACTTCAGGGAATAGCTAACAGTCCTACTTTATGTCAGAGATAGATTTCTGCTGTTCATGCTGTCCTATACAGCACTTTCCTCAGGCAATGTTTATACACTATATGGATGATCTTTTTAAAAATATTTCTATTGAGTTTTGTGCATTTCATACAATGGTTCTTAATCAAATTTAGACCCTCTACCCCATCCATGCTCCCCCACACCCCCACTGGACCTCATGCATTCTGTCACAGATGTGAAGTCCTATCCATTCAAGCATTTGTACCCAGATGTCTTTTGGTGCAAGTTCATCCAGTAGGGTCTAGTCAGCCTATCTGAATCCTTATCTACCTTATCTGACAGTTATTTACTTTTACAGAACCTTCTAAAACAGGCTGGCCTCATAAAAGATTCAACAAACCACTCTCTTTTCTTATCTAGGATACATCATAACAAATCACACTATTTGTCCACAGAGGTTACAATTAAGAAAAGATGCTCTGCTCACGCTTAATGACTTCCAAAAGCTCCTAGGCGATATCATACCTATTAAGACCTTCCCTGACTAACCACTTCTCAACTTCGGCCTCTCTCCCAGATTTTGCAGCTTCCAGATTTGATGCAACTTCACCTTGAAAATTAACCCCTGAAGCTTCCCAACCCCTGTCATTAATGGACGAAGCCATTAATCAAGCACAATTCGCTTGAGTTGACTTCCGCAAACCCATTTCTCTTATACTCCTTCCTACTGACAAATATCCCACAAAGGTTTTATGACAGGATCCCGGACCTTCGGAATGGATTTTCCTCCCCTCCGGGGGCAAAAACGTTATTATCCCATATTTAGAATTAATTTGTCAGCTAACAACTCAATGCTGGTACCAATACTTACAGATTTGGGGACGTGAGCCTGCTATTAATATTTATCCTTGTTCTAATGAAAATCTTTCTAAGCTCTAGGAACACTCTACTCCTTGGCAAATTTCAGTGGCAGGGTTCGTGGGCCAATTTCTAATAAACTTTTACAATTTGCCTTCCAGCATGCCTTCATCTTACCCCAAGTGGTTGCTTCCACACTCTTTGCCAGGGCACCTATGGTGTTCATAGATGGTTCTAGTTCAGGTATAGCTGTTGTCATAAAGGATGAGGAAAAGTTTGTTTTTCCTTTTGTGGCCAAGTCTGCTCAATGGATTGAGGTTTATGCAGCTTACAAGGCCCTACTCTTTAGTCCTGAATCCTATATACATCCTTTGGATGCACCTATCTTTCTCCCATTAATACAACAGGCCATTGATTCGTATGTTACCCATCATCAGTCTGCTATGACACGCTGATATCAGTTTTGCATTACCCATCCAATAGTTTGTTCTGTGGTAACTGTCAACCATTTCCCCTGTTCCATTTACAGGACTGAACCCTTGGGGCTTATGCTCAGAAGGACACTGGCAAATAGATGTCCCCCTTATTCCCACCTTTGGGCAGCTAAAGTATGTTCGTGTTATTATTGACATATACTCTGGATTTTTAGTTGCTACAGCCAGGACTAGAGAGTCAGCTAAACATTGTAATCAACATTGCTTCCATGTCTTTGCCATATGAAGGGTGTCTTGGTTTTTA